GCGTGTGGCGGCTGACCAGGCCGGCGTCCCGCGCGAGCTCCCAGAGCTGGCTCGCCTGCATCCCAAAGCTCAAGCGCGGCAGGCCCGCCGCCACGAACGGCGAGGCGCGCTTGCTGCACAGGGCAGCATTCGGGGGGGGGCATCATTAGTGTCTGGGGGCAGGGGGTGCAGCACGGCAGCTGGGGTCTTTGTGTGGAGGAAGCCCCTGTATGAGCGGCTCGCCCCTGCGAACGCGATTCTGCCCACAGCAAGCCGGCTTAACACGACCGACCATGAGAAAGGGCAGCCCACCAGTAGCGGTCGTACAGCGCCCGCAGCTCAGAGTTGGCGCCCGCCAGCAGGTTCAGCACGGCCCGCGCCGCTGCCGCCGCGGCGGCCGCCGTCGGCCCCTCGCTGCCCAGCAGGTCGTCTATGTACAGCTGCAGGCTCGCCACGCGCGGCCCAAAGCCCGCAGCACCACCATTGACGGCCGCGTCGGCCGCTCCGTGCACTGCGGCGCCGCCGGCGCCCGTCTCCTTGTCGCCCGCCATAGTCCCAGTACTGTCCTTGTCACCGCCGCCACCGCCGCCGCCGCCGCCGCCGCCGCCGCCGCCGCTTCCGTATCTGAAAGATCCAGTCTTGAGGTCTGGCCGGTCCGAGATGAAGCTGCCGCAGAACACCGTGCCGTCCTCGAACACGTACACGCCCTCGCCCTCCTTCCTGTCGGCGGCCCAGGTGCCCTCGTAGCGCGCGCCAGTGGAGTAGAGCAGCGCGCCCTCGCCCTCACGGCGGCCGTCGACAAAGCTGCCCAGGTACCTGCAGGAGCATGGGCGGGTGCAATTGTGAATTTGGAGGGGCGGGTAGGAGGGGTCTTGCGCAGTGGAGTGGGTTGTGTGGGAGCAGTGGAGGTGCAGGATGGGTACCACCAATGGAGGAAGCTCATAAGTTGTATCGGTGAGAGTATCATCAGGCTGACACTGCAACAACATCGTCAGACCACACATTTGCCACCAGGGTCCCCCACGCGCCTCTGCCCCACCTGTTGTGCATGAGGCACGTCCCCCGGCTGCTGCCGGGCGTGACGTCCTGTTCCCACACGTGCTCCCCCAGGCCGTTTGGCACGCCGCGCTCCCACATGCCGCGGTAGACCTGCCCGCTGGTGTGCCACCACATGGTGCCCGCCCCGCACTTCTGGTCGGCCACCCACTCCCCCTCGTAGGCGTTGCCGGAGGGGTACACGATCACGCCCCAGCCCTGCTTCACGTCGCGCTCCCACTCGCCTGCGGGGACGCCGATAGCCCAGGCGACGGCGCAGCACCGGCAAAACTTTGCGATTTGCAAGCCGAAGTGAAGACATTGGTACCACTACGTTCCGCTCACAGCGGGGAGGTAGCTTGTAAGCAGCTGTACAGTGACCACGCCTTGCCAAGCAGCACAGTGAGCACGCCTGGTCTGCAGCCTCTCTTCCTGCTTGATGCCGGCCCACCTTCGTAAAAGGCTGTCCTTTCGGCGTTGAAGTAGAGCACGCCGCGTCCATGGCGCATGCCATCCGCCCAATCGCCCTCGTAAACCGCAGGCGAGTCGTCAAACGACATGGCGCCTCGGCCGTGGCGTTTGCCAGCGCGCACCTCGCCCTGATACGTCGCGCCAGGCCAGCGGTACACCTGCAAAGGCACACGGCATGTGAGTGATCACGCTGACACCAGTGCACGTGCACATGCTCTTCTGCGTTTGGCATGCAGTGCCCAGGCTGCTGTTGACATTGCCCGGATCCCAGCGCCTGCACTCGGGCGCTTAATTCCAGCTTCTCCTCAAGGGATCCTGCTGCTGGGCCCGCCAAGCACTGATAGCTGTCACTCACCCCACTGCCCTCCATGCTGTTGCCGCTCATGTCCCCGTCATACTGCACGCCGTCCGGAAAAACCACTGCTGCGCGCCCTTCCAACACGCCATCCCGCCAGTCGCCGTCGCACACCACGCCGCTGGCATAAACCGCGCGCCCGTGGCCATGGAACAGGCCCGCTGCCGACATCTCGCCATCATAAGTGACCGTGGTCGCCTGTGTATGGTGAAGAGCATGACAGAGGGTTGCCAGAGAGCAGAAACGGTGGCAGCAGCGCGCAGCACCAGCCCACGCTCAACGTGCCGCTATCGCGCTTGGGATTACCACAATGTTGGTAGCACTTACCTGCTGGACCACGGCCTCCATGATATTATTTTGGTTGAGTACCGCGTGGCCTCAGCAGAGTCAAATGACAAAGCCCGCGGACGGCATGATGGCGTGCAAGATCACTGTGAGAGGCGTAGATCTAATGTAAATCAGTGTAACAACCTGTAATTACTTACGAAGGTAATCGCAGGAGTGGCTATAGCACGTGACAGGCGCGAGCAGATCACTCGACTAGTCAACCAGTCAACCATTGCGGTCTTTCATGATCCACGGCTTGGTCTCCAGGCCACTAGCTTGCTTACAGCCTTGTCTGGCAGGCAAACCTGCCACATACAACTTTGCTGGAGCACCCAAATTTCCTGGAAGCACAATGCAGCGCGCGCAATGTGCTACGTTGAGCACCCACCTGCACTGTTGGGCTGCTGCACGCTCGATTCCTGCGATTCCATTTTCCTGAAGCCAAGTCAAACACTGCTTGCTGTGCGTCCATTCACAGGATTAAAGTTCATGGGGCAATACGTAATCGAATCAAAGATACATTTGTGATTTACAATATCTGAAGCTACTTCTTTGCTCGTGCCTCGTTGTTCTCCCGTATCCGCTGCTTGTTCTTGTAGCGGAACAGCCGCTTCATCTGCGCAGAATGAAGGCGGAATCAGGTTGAGCCAAACGACCTGGGAAAGGACAAGGGCGCTGCCACATCGCTCTGGCCTGCAACATGCACGACCACCGACACAGCAGGCGCTATTTCCCTTGTCTGCCGCGGCACGCGTGGGATGGCCAGCCCTGGCCACCTCGCTGCGCCCTGCAGCGGATGCTTGCCGATGCGCGACCTCCCTATCAAAAAAGGCCCGCCACAAACACGTCTGCAAACACGTCCCCCGCTCATGACGGCATCCCCCGTCCCGCCGCACCTGCGGCAGCGTGAGGCCGTCCTGCTCGTACAGCCGCTGCAGCTCCGCCGTGCTGGGCTCCGGCGTCATGAGGCCGAACAGCCAGTCGGGGTACTGGTCGTCTGGCAGGATGGGGGGGTCGGACTCGCCCTTGCGGATGGCCACGCCCGTGGCAGCCGTTGCGCTGAGCTCGCCGACTTTTGCCGGGCCTGGCAGGGTGGATTCGGGCGTCGGGGTAGGTGGGGGTGTGGGGTCAGGCGGGGCCGCACGCGACCAGGTGCTTTCCAGGTGGTGACGTTGGAGCACCTGCGGCTGCTGTGACGAGTTTGTCGCAAGCTCGTAGCGCGCTGCGCGGAGTGGGTGGGTCGACACGACTCCGTCCCCTAGGTTGGCCTTGTCACTGACGCCTCCAGTCCAGGGGTCACTGTGCCGTCAGCCCAGCTCACCTTTGTCGACAACGCGCTTCTTTGCGCCACCTGGTGGCAGGCCGCGAAGCCGCTGCACCACGAGCGCGGCGAGGCGGGCCCGCACGCCCTGCATGCTGCCGCAGCTGCTCCCCTCACCCGCCTTGACCCCTGCCTACGCCGGTGCGAACGCCGCTGCACGTCTAAGCGTCAACCTACAGGCCAGCCAATTGTTGCACCGTCCTGCTGCCTTTGTTAGGGAGAGGAGCCCAGCTGCGCCGATGCCTGCCTGCTCACGCAATGCGCCACCCGCAGGCGCTGCATGCAGCAATGACGCGGCTCAAGCTGTTTGATGGAGCTGTCTGTGGTGGACGTGCCTTCAGTTGCGACACGCACGAATGTCAATGGACAGCGTTATATCAGAGTTCTACTGGTAGAAGGGCTTGCTCTAGCTCAACGCAAAAGCACGGCGGTAGGGCGTGATCTGTGGCGAGAGCGCAACACAACATACGTACATAGAATCACGGCTCACTGATACAGCATACAATTCATTTCGACAGGTGCAGATGTGAAGCGATCTTGCGCCCGGTGACCAGTAGCGAACGCCGACAGGTTTGAGCGCCCATTCAAGGCGCGTTGAGCTCCATCCAATGGTACCTTTTCATTCGTAACGGTCATCTCAGTCTAAACGACCTGGCGCCTGCTTAGCATCACCGGCGCTCCACCCCTGCATTGCAGTCGGATTGCCTCTGTATAAGAACTGGGCATCGATACGTGATGCAAGGCACAAGCATGCAGATCAAGCAGCGTCCCGGGGCCGCTGGTCTCCCCCAGGCCAGGGGCAGGAGCAGGCTCAATGTGACTGCCAAGAGTTATTCAGGACCGCCTCCGGCATGGAATAAGCGCGTGGTGGTTCCTGAGGTGCAGCCGCGTGACGGCCCCAAGGTGCGGCGGTGCCAAAGCGGCACGCTTGCGACGCCAACACCGGGCTCTGCCATGCACGTTTTGGGTGTTGCCTATCCTTTGAATGACAATTGGGTGCAAAGTGAGCGGTGTCTGGTGCGATGTCTACACCATCACAGCAGCACCCACAGTAGCAGTCCAACAGTGGGGGTCAAAACGCCACAAGGAACCGCAGGCTTCATTGTGACCGCATGCAATTCAGCAATTGCAGGCTGGGACCAGCAGCAGCGTGCATGTGCCGCAAACGTGCGTCTGCCTGGCCGCCTGGCATATGGGGTAGGAGCCGGGACAATCCTTGCACAGGATTGGCGCGAACTCCCTCCAGCGACCGACTGACCGTCACGCGTGCGCCGGCACGCTCACGGCTCCCCCTCTGCTCGCAGCCGTTCTCTGTCCTGGGATCCACCGGGTCGATCGGCACCCAGACCCTGGACATCATCGCGGAGTTCCCGGAGAAGTTCAGCCTGGTGGCGCTGGCGGCCGGCTCCAACATCGACGTGCTGGCGAAGCAGGTGATGCTAGGCTGGGGTGGGGGCGTGGTGGTGGGTGCGTGGTGAGCGCATGCGCTGGTGTGCATGCATGCGTGCGTTTAAGTTAACGTTTGCAGCGGGTCAGGTGCGGCAGCAATGAGCAAGTAGTGATGGGTCATACATGTGCAGCATCGTATTGCCACGTAAGTGGCGCCGTGTCGCGCTGCGAGACTGGCTGTACGGCAGCCGAGCGGAGGATGGAGCAGGACAGCAGAGCGTTTCCCGCGCTGGCAGTGGCACAGTGGTGGACTGGATAGACAGGCTGCGGGCCCGTGCAGTGCGTGGCTGTGAAAGTTGAATGACGCAACAAAGCAACACAGCTGGCCGCGAGGCAGGGGTTGCCGCTGTGTGCTGCGGCACTGGCGTGCATCACACGAAAGCATGCCGCGGCAGAGCACCGGGTGCAGGCGTGCAGCTCCCATGGGTTGGTCATGGCAGATCCAGGCGGCCGGCAGCATCGCGCCCGGCTGGCTGCTTGGCTGCGCGCTCCTTGGTATGCTTCATCCTCTGAAGCCTGCGATCTTTGAGCAGCACTTGGCCCCTGTCCTCGAC